GAGCTTTCTGGCAATGGTGGTGATGGTGATGTGCCATAAAGTCGGTTCCAATTCATAGCGACCCGGTACAGGGTTTCCAAGGCTATAAATCTTTATGGGAGCAGAAAATCTCATCTTTCACCCTCAGAACAGCTGGTAGTTTCGAACTGCTGACCTTGAGGTTAGCAGCCCAATTCATAACCACTACACTACCAGAGCTCCTTTTTCTGGCTATACTTCACCCAAAACAGATTTGTTTGCTCTTCTGGCAGTCCATGGTACTTTCAATATTCTATTCTTCACCAACATCATAATTCAAATGTATTAGTCCTTCTCATTGGTCTTATTTACTCATTGGCCAACTTTCACATGGATATGAAGCTACTATGGTTTGGGTCAGGGACACTTTAGTCCTCAAGCTGATATCTTTGGTCTTTAACACTTTGCATTATCTCAGGTTGTTAATGAAGCTTCCTCCAATCCTGATGCCACATTCTTCATATAATCCAGCTTCTTAGGATTATTTATTCAGTCTAAATATTGAATACATCTGGTGAAAGAATACAAGCCTGGTGCACACCTTTCCTGATTTTAAACCATTCAGTATTCCCTTGTTCTGTTATAATGACTGCCTCCTGGTCTGTGTACAGTTTCCTCATGAGCACCATAAAGTGTTCTGCAATTCCCAATCTTCACATTGTTATCCATAGTTTCTTATGGTTCACAAGGTCGAATGCCTCTCTATAGTCAATAAAGTACAGGTAGCCATCTTTCTGGTATTCCCTGCTTTCAACCAAGATCCATCCTTTGTTCCACATACTCTTGCGGATTTGGCTTGAATTTTTGACAGCTCCTTGTCAATGTTTTGTAATTATCTTCAGAAAATTTTACTTGCATGTGGTATTAATAATATTGTTCAATGATGTCCACATTCCGATGTGTCACCTTTCTTTGCAGTGGGCACAAATATGAACCTGTTTCCATCAATTGGCCAGGTAGCTGCTGTCTTCCAAATTTCTTGGTAGAGAAGAGAGAGCGCTTTCAAGATTGCACCAGTTTGCTGAAATATTTCAATTTGTATTCCAGCAATTCCTAGAGCCTTGTTTTCAATCAATACCTTCAGTATAGCTTGGACTTCTTCTTTCAATACTGTTGGTTCTTAATCATATGTTACCTCTTGAAATGGTTGAGCATTGACCAAATCTTTTTGGTACAGTGACCCTGTGCATTCCTTCCAACTTCTTTAGATGCTTTCTTCATCATTCAATACTTTGTGCAGGTTGTTGTTGTTAAGTGCCATCCAGTCAGTTCCGACTCATAACAATCCTGTTATTGGGTTTCTGAGGAGCAGCTGGTGAGCTTGAATGCTGACCTTTCAGTTCAAATTGACCTTGCAGTCCAGCGCAATAACCCACAGGACCACACCAGCACTCCATTTTGTTCATATAATCCTCCAATATTTCCAGTCAAGTCTTGAATTCTTTTCAGTTCTTTCAGCTTGAGAAATGCTGAGTGTGTTGTTCTCCTTTGGTTTTCTAACTCTATCTTTGTACATTTCAGTATAATACTTGGGTTTGCCTTCTCAAGCTGCCTTTTGAATTATTTGTTCAACTCTTTTACTTCCTCATTTCTTCCAGTTGCTCTAGCTTGTCTAAACTTAAGAGTCTAGTGCAGTGCTATAGAACCAGCACTGGATTGTGAACCCAATTTCAGCAATTCAAACCCACCAATTGCTCCTCGGAAACCCTATGAGTCTGAATTGACTCGACGGCACTGAACAACAATAAACTTAACAGCAGCTTCAGTCTCTTCTGACATCCATTTTGGTCTTGTCTTTCTTTCCTGTCGTTTCAGAGCCTTTTGCTGGCTTCATGTATGATGTTCTTGATATCATCTTACATCTCTTCCAGTCTCGCATCACGAGTGTCTAATGAATGAACTCTGTTCTTGAACTGTTCTCTAAGTACAGGTGGGATGTAGTCAAGGTCATGTTTTGGCTTTCATGGACTTGTTTCCATGTTCTTCAGCTTCAGCTTGAACTTGGATCTGAGCAATTGACAGTCTTTTCCACAGTTGGCCCCTGGCCTTGTTTTGGCTAATGACACTGAGCTTCTCCATCACCTCTTACCATGGATGTAGTCCATTTGAATCCTGTGTGTTCCATCAGGTGAGGCCCCCGTGTTTAGTACGTTTTATGCTGCTAACAAAAGGTATTTGCAATGAGCGATTTGTTAGTCTTGCAAATGTCTACCACGCACTCTCCAGATTAAGCATATTTAAGAAGATGGATGACATTGAACAAAAACTTGAAGGGAGTAAGGGAATGAGTCACATTCATATCAGAGGAGAAGAACATTCCAGACAAAGGAAACAGCAAGTACAAATGTATCTGTGTTGTTTTAAAACTTGTGAGGGGTTGGTATGATGGACAACAAGAAGTGAGGAGCAGAGGTTTTAGAAGCAGCAGTGAAGCCAAATCACATAGGCTCCTAGAATCATCATAGAAACACTGGATATTATCCAAAAGGAAATGGGGAACTACGGAAGAGTTTGGAGCAGAAGAGTGACATCTGACGTAAGTTTCTAAAGGATGATTTGAGTTCCTGGGTTGAGAACAGACTAGAGTGGACAAACTCATGAAAGCAGTGGAATGGTTAGTAGAATGGATTGATGATCTATTTTGAAGGCGAGGTAAATCCGGTGTTTCTGGCAATTTAGAGGTTAAGGTGCAAGAGGCATAAAAAAATGACTCTTAAGATTTATGTTCTGAATGATTGAAAACATGAAGTTGCCAGGCACCCATTGTCTTACCATAGTTTTGGAAAAGACTACATGTAGAAATAGTGAAATAGAGGAATCATGAACTCTGTTTTGGACGTTTTAAATTTGGAAATATATTGCACATTCAACTAGAAATGCAACAGGCCAGATGGAGCTCTAAGACTAGACTTAAACAAATAAGGCTAGAGATATAAATTGGGGTTTAATATCAGAAAAAACATGAACATAGTCCACCACATGAATAAAACAAAGAAAAAGAACCACACGATCACATCTATTGATGCAGAAAAAGCATTTGACAAAATCTAACACTCACTTCTGGTAAAAAAATAAAAAAAAAAAAAAACTTAACAAAATATGAGTAGAAGGGAAATTCCTTAACATAATTGAGGACATAGATACAAAACAAATAGCCAGCATTAGTCTCTACGGCGAGAAACTGAAAGCATTCCTTTTGTGAACAGACAAAGATGCCCTTTATCACCACCACTCCAAATCAATATTGTGTTGGAAGACTTAGAGTTATAAGGTAAAAAAGGAAAATTAAAGGCATCCAAATTGACAAAAAAAAAAAAAAGTAAAACTCTATTTACAGATGATATGATCCTATACAAAGAAAATCCCAGACTCAGCAAGAAATTTATTGGAGCATATGTTCCAAAAGACCTATGCCAAGAAAAATGCAAAACATTACTATGAAAGAGGCCTACATAAGTGGAAGAATATACCAGGCTTATGGACAGGAAGACTTAACATAATGAAAATGTCAACACTACCCAAAGCAAGATATAAAATAATCCTAATTCAGATTCCAACATCATTCATTAAAGAGATGGATAAACTAATCACTAACTTTATATGGAAAGGAAACAGACCCCAGATAAAGTACGTTAAAGGATAACAACAAAGTAGGAAGCCTCTCACATCTCAATCCCAAACCTAAATCACAGCCACAGTGATCAAAATAACCTGGTACTGGTACAAGGAAACACATATAGGTCAATGGAACAAAATTGAGAACAATCACATATGGTCATATGACCTTTGACAAAGAGCCAAAACACACTAAATGGAGATGAGATAGTCTCTTCAACAAATAGTGCTCAAAATACTAGAAATCCATCTGCAGAAAAATGGAACAAGACCTGTATCTCACGATTTACAAAAACTAACTCAACATCAATTAAAGATCTAAATGTCAAACCTAGAACTGTAAAGATCATCAATGGAAAAATAGGGATAAACTTAGATGCTCTGACACATGGCATAAATACATTGTGAAACATAATGAAAGCACAGATAGTAAGAGAAATATAGATGACTAGGACCTCCTAAAAATGGGACACTTAATGTACATCAAAAGATTTTACCAAAATAGTAAAATGAGAGCTCACAGACAGATTTTTTTTTTTTTTTGCATTGACATATCAGACAAGGGACTAATCTCTAAAATTTATATGAAACTTCAACACCTCAACAAGAAAAAGACAAATAGCCCAATTAAAAATCAAGCAGAGATCATAGACATGGATCTGGCTGCAGATATAAATTGGTGTTTGTCAGCATTTGTCAGCATATACTCATACAGGAAACTGAATGGGGTCGCCATAGAAAAAAGAATAAAGAATGAGCCCAGGAACATTCCAATGTTAAAAGGTTGAGGAGAAGATGGACATTAACTGAGAAAAATGAAAAGGAAGATATACTGAGGACCAAGTGAAGAAAGTATATCAAGAACTCCTTAACCAGCTTTCAACTCTATCATCTCGATTCTTCCAAGATTCTAATCATTCTAACTTATTGCTTAAATAAGACTCATGATATCCTTTTACTCTTCCTTATTATACTTTCTCTCCATTGAATGATTATTCTCTTTCCAATCTCTGCATCATTCCTACCAATATTTGCATGTTCATATTTTTAGCATATTGGTTACGAGTCGGACTTCTAATCTCAAGGTCAGCAATTCAAAACTACTAGCAGTTCCATGGGAGAAAGATGATGCTTTCTGCTTCCATAAAGATTTATAGCCTCGGAAACCCTATACAGGGTCGCTATGAGTAAGAATTGACTCCACAGCACAGAGCCACCACCACCATGTTTAAAAACATAACGATAAAACATGGAACACACAAAAAAAAGTCATATCCTCAGAATACATGTAAAGCTACTTAAAAACCTGCCCCCACTTTGATTAAAATAAAATAACCTCATATTTTTATTTATAAAACATAACCTACTTGAAGAAAGCAATCAACAGGTTCACCATGATGATGTATTGCACGAAGAGGTAGACAGCTTGAAGGAATGGAGTAAGAAAAGAACCAGGAGGACACGATATATGGCTTTCACAAACTGTAAAATAAGAAACATTTTAAAAAATTAAATTATAGATAGGATAAATTACAGTCAGATGTCTGGCAAAATTTTAGCACATTAACTACAGAATCCCACAAATATGAGTGTGAGTCAAAAAGTATCGCTACTAGGATTCCTGTTCATACATGCATGGATTTATTCCAAACAAAGTATGTTTAAGCATGTCTCTGCAATCAATGTATGGCCTTAGACAACTCTCCCAGTAATACACTTGTCTTAATCTCACTAGGGTTTCAAAAAAAAAGGTCCAACTAAGAAGGTAATAGTGATTGTCTTTTGGAATTACAAAGGGGGCACCCTTTGTAACCACCACCATCTACCACCAATATTAACAGATTTTCTCAAAGGCACAGGATGAGAGTGGAACTTATTAGGAAGAAGAAGATTTAAGAAACTGAAAACTGCACTGGTGAAAAACAAAACATACAAATAGGAGAGATGTACTGAGGAATTGTTTTCCATTATGGCAATGCCCTGTTCAGTCTTCGAGGGTAGCAAGAACTGTCCTATGGAAATATCATTGGGAAACCTTATTCCTTTCACCGTACAGCACTGTGCCCCTTCAGACTTCTTTTGGTTCCCCAAACTCAAAAGACATTAAAAAATGAACATGATTTGGGTCCCTCAAGGATGCCCAAACTGGCATTTTAACATGGTGGTTAAGTAAAAAAGCACAGAATTCTCCAGGGATGGGTTAGGTAGATAGAAACACTGTCTTCAGAAGTGTATAGACCTACATGGAGAAAAAAACATTGCTTCACATTTTGATATTTTTGTTTAATTAAAGGTAGCTATGATTTTGTAGCAATATTTTTTGACTTACTCTCATATTTGGCATTTCTAAGATTCAGATTATGATTTTACAGACTTTAAATTTTGAGCATCTACAATGCTCAATTTCTACATAATGGCAAATTCCATGCTGTTGTTGTTAGCTGCCATTAAGTAAGGAATGTTGGTTCATTGCACAATAGGATCAAACCATTTTCATTGACTGATTTTTCAGAAATAGATTGCCAGCCCCTTTTTCCTAGTCTGACTTAGTCTGGGAGCTACCCTGGAACCTGTTCAACATATAGCAAGCATAGGTAGCATGTTCAACATTGCATACAACAATAAGCAAGCCTGTGCTGGCAGATAAGTGGTGGCTATGCTTGAAGTGCACTGGCTGGGAATCAAACCCAGGTCTCCGGCATGGAAGGTAAGAACTCTGCCAACTGAGCCACCACTGCACCTGGCCAATCCCATACTCACCATCTATATCTGCAGCATAGACTTCTCCATATATCATCCAGTATGGTTCAAATACAATATCTCGAGCTAACTTCCAAGATGGAGGCTCCTTTGGAGAAAGAATGGCCTTACGAGCCACTCCAAAGCTCAGGAGGACTATGGCCATCATGATCACTATGTAGAACATGTTTCCTGTCTACAAAAGAGCATAGCACAAGGAGATCTTTACCAAAGAGTTGAAATTTAAAACCAATTAATGAGCTTCTCTCCTTTCTCTTCTTCCTTTCCATTAGGCTGAGGTCATGTGGCCTACGTGTAGTCTAGCCAGTGGGCAAGTGTGTGGCAGTTAACTTCTGTCAGATTGGGCTTTCTCATTCTTCTCATTCCCTACCATAGGAGTCCTTGGAAGTCATATGCTGACAGGATTCTGGGTCCTAAATAACTGGAAAGGAGTCCCTAGGTGGTGCAAAGAGTTAAACACTTGACTACTAACACAAAGGTTGGTGATTCAAACCTCAATAGATAGGTCTGTTGATCGGCCTCCAAATGGTCACAGCTTTCAAAACCCTATGGAACTCTCATAAAATGTGTGAGGGAAAAATAAAGTTATAAAGATCATTAAGAAGGACTAGTTACTTCAGCACACACTATCTACCAAATATCAATGTCAGCAAAATCAGAGTTGACATTTAGCAAATCTGTCTTTGGGGTCCAGGGGGTTCTCCTTCTCTGTTCTCTCCCTATATTCATTACTACCTTTCATTCTCAAGAACTGGACCCTTCTCAGACACAGAGTATTCTAAAAGTCACAGATGACCTTGAGATGCTGTATTTCCTAGAAGATAGGTCTTAGGCCTTCATGCAAGGCCAGATGGAGAAGACCGACACATGGTAGTGATCTCAGATGTCTGAGTGGAGCCAGCTGGCTCAGATATTAATCCTAGCTCCCCCACATATGTCCTTGGGAAATCTATTCAACTTCCATTCCTTTGTATGTACAATGTGCTTAATACTAATACTTACCTTATGAAGATTATAAAGATCAAATAAGTTAGTGTATAAAAGGTACTTAGAACAGTGTATGGCCCAAATAATTACTCTATAAGAGCTTTTTTTTAGGGGTGTGGGATAAGAAAAAAAATCAGTCTTTCAGCAAAAAAAATATATTTATGGCTATTGAGAGTTACAAATCTGGTCCTCAGGAATTACTGTGCTCAGCGACAATTTTGGTCTAATCCTACATTGTTGTTAGATGTTGCTGAGTCACCCCTGACGCAAGGTGACCCCATACATAATGGGATCGAACTGCTGCGTTCTGTAGGGCTTTCATTGGATTAGTTTTCAGAGGCAGATTACCACGTCTTCTTCATAGTCCTTCTTAGTCTGGAAGCTCCACTGAAACCTTTTCAGAATCACAGCAACATATAAGCCTCCACTTATAGATAAATGGTAGATACACTTGAGGTACACTGGCCAGGAATTGAACCCAAATCACATGTATAGAATGCAAGCATTCTATCACTAAACAACCACTACCTCGGAATCCCATATTACTTGTCCCTAAAGGAGTCCTGGTGTGGCGCTCTGTGTTAATGCACCAGACTGCAAAGCCGCTTGAACTACAAGGTTGGCAGTTCAAGCTCACCAGCCACTCCTCGGAAACCCTATCCAGGGTTGCTATGGGTCGGAACTGACCTGATGGCACTTAACAACAACAACAAAGGAGTTCTGGTGTGGTGCTGTGGGATAATGCCTTGGACCACAAGGTCGGTTTGAACCGCAGAGTCAGCAGTTCAAATTCACCAGCCACTCCTCAGAAACACTTTACAGGGTCACTGTGAGTCAGACCCGACTCCATAGCATTTAACAACAAAAAACAAATTAAGGTAAGCTGAGCATCCTGATCAATTAACCAATATGTATCCAAAAATAATAATTTATAATATTAATTTATGGTTATAAGGAAAGTAGAGATAAAAAAAGATCTGCCTGTACTTCTATAAATAATTCCAAAAGTTAAACTATTGGCTATTAACCATATAAGGTTTAACCACTGAAAAGGACACCAGATTATAAAATCAGACAGCACTCACCATTTTTGCAATCATAGTCAGGTATGGACCAGCATGTTGATTCACAGCAAGAAAGTCCAGTAGTTGTGTGTACCAGAATATGATGTCTACGCAGTAGATAAGTCTTCCCGCTGTGTGAAAAGGAGGCTCACCCCACCGAAGGCCAAAACCAACTAAAAACAGGACAATTGCAACAGTTCCAACTAGGTTCCAGTACTCACTAACCCATACCTTCACCTTTTGAATAAACTTCCCAGGCTCTGAAATACAGACCTAAAGGAAGAAAGAGAGAAACTTGGAAAATGGGGTAAAACCTGAGTCTCAGCAATAGTTGCTTCAATACATCAGCCCATCATATAAAGAGTAATTTTAATTCTGCCAATCCTTAGATCACGTGGAGTTTTTAAAAGCTTTGGTTACCTTCAGGTTATGAATTATTTAAACAATTCTATGCTACAATGGTTAAAACGCTAGTCTGGTAACCCAAAGGTTGGCTGTTCAAACTCAACACTCTGTTGTGCAGGAGAAAGATGTGGCAGTCTGCCTCCATACAGATTACAGCTTTGGAAACCTTACAAGGCAGTTCTACTCTGCCTATACATAGGGTCACTAAACTTCGGAATCAACTCAGTGGCCATGGTTTGGGCTCTGTAAATACATCTTAATGACACTGGTAAGGCCAACTAACCACATGAAAACCCTAGCAGAAGTCTAAACAAAACAAAAGTCATTTTCCTGTTCTTAATTAATCCTAAACTGCAAAAGGGATGATATTTATTTTTAAACTTTCAATACTTCAATGAATCTATTTGTTTACATGTCACTTCAAGAAGCATGTTGTTGTTGTTAAGTGCCATCGAATTGGTTCGGACTCATAGTGACCCTATATAGAGTTCCCAAGGAGTGGCTGGTGGGTTTGAACCACCAACCTTGTGATTTTCAGTCCAGTGCTAATCCTACAGCGCCACACCAGGACTCCTCATGAGATATATTGTTGTTGTAAAGTGCCATCGAGTCTGTTCCGACTCATAGCAACTCTGTATAGAGTTTCCAAAGAGCAGCTGGTGGGTTTGAACCACCAAACTTGTGGTCCTACAGAGAAACAACAGAAGTCTGTAGCAGAGGGCAAAGGTGGAAATCAAGGAATTCTAAAGTCTAGTCCTAATGCTGCTATCTAGTGAAATATTGACAAATAACTAAGAAGATGATATTGAAACTCACTAGTATAAGAAACTACTTTTGTAAAAGAGTATCAGACAAATTGAAGTGTTACATTAGTACTTGTTTTCTCTGAAGCATTAAAAAATATGAAAATTCAGATACCAATTCTCTCCTGCATTGCTTTCCCCATTCTATAAAGTCCATAATAGTAAATAGCTGGCAGTATCATTATCATCATAAAAGTACATTTACTGAGTAAGTTACAATGGTCATGTGCACTCTAGAACACAATAAATATACATAAGCACATAGGCACAGAAAGACGTATACTCTGACATCTAAAGCAATTTAAGTTGTAATTGTAGGTGATTGCAATTATAACTGCCTGGGAATATTCATCTTTAACGTTTAAGTAATTCTCTGAAAACTAGAAATGAGAATTTTGTTTTGTTTCTCAGATGACTTGCCTTAAAGGAACCTTTGGTTTCAGTTTTCAAAGGTGTTTAATACAATCTTTCAAGAGCTATAAGTGAACTCTTTATAGACTGTATGACTTTTACTATTTCTGAGCTACTCTGTGAGACTAAACTGATAATATGTTAATGCTAAATTAGAAAAATCAATTTTAGCAAAAACAAAGACTTCTGAGAAATTAAATAGTTGGAGGTTGTAATAATAGCATATCATGCTAGGACTGATAAACATGGTAAGATGTTTCCTTTGCAGATGACTAAAAAACTACTGATATGCTAAAACATCTTTTACTAATATGTTGTTAAGTGCTGTCAAGTCTGTTCCAGCTCATAGTGACTCTGTATGTAGGATTTCCAAGGAGCAGCTGGTGGGTTTGAACTGCCAACCTTGTGGTTCACAGCCCAGTGCTGATCCTACAGCACCACACCAGGAGTAGTAAGACAGCTGTCTCCAAAGAACAGCAACCAGCTATTAGTATTTGGCAAGGATAAGAGGTTAAGACTAGGGATTTTCCCTCAAATACCCTTCTTGTGCCATGCAATGGACTCAAGCATATCATTGATCATGAAGATGTATAGGACCAGGCTATCTTTGCTTCTGTTGTACTTGGTATCATCTTAAACCAGCCAACTCCAGAGCCACTAACATCAACATGCAAATCAAGATCAGCCCTTCCAGTCTCACCCCCACCCTTGATTTTCATTGAGGGACAACTCACCTCCCTGACTTTCTCAATGGCATTGGTGAAGATGTAAATGATAACAAGCCATTCTTGCATGCTGGGCTGGGGTTGCATCTCTACCAACACAGTGTAAGTGAACAGCATGAGGAATGCCAAATAAGCCATCTGTGAGGGGGATACACACACATTCCCTGATCATGAGTGAAGGGGATAATGGAGAATGCCAAGCAGACACAGACCAAACTAAGGAGAAATGCACACCGACACTTGGATCTGAAAACACAAGAATGTAACTAGGACTACCCTCTGATTGTCGATGAGCAAATATCAATAAAAGCAGAAAAATCCATGAATTTCCAGTTTAGAATGTATACTGTCTCATCCTGTTAACCCCTGGCCAGAATGTCCAGAATCCAACATGGGCACTGGTGGGCTGACCATAAACCAAGGATGAATCATGTGCCTTCCCTCTATTTTAAACATAGAAAATGCCTGTGCCAAATATGCCAGATGAGCAGTCTCAGTAGGTGTGCCTTTTCAAATATAACTACTATCAGAAATTCTGTTTTATGTTGATTAAAATATTCTGGTTAATAGAAAAGTTCTGCCCAACTGTGAGGTCCTTGTAATTAAGGACTGTTGGTTGATATTTTTATCTTCAGAACTCCGCTGACACAAAGTGAATGATCAATAATTGTTTGCTGAATTACAAACTGTACATATGTTAGGTGGATTTCCAGTCTCTCAAAGAATTAAAACAGTAAACACACACACATACATAGTAATTAATAGTCTTGCAATCTTGTCTTTTCTTATTATTTTAAGATATAATCTCAGAAGTTGAATAGCTGGGTGGTTATGTGCCATGGAGTTGGTTCCAACCCCGCATAGGGTTTCTAAAGCTGTAAATCTTTACAGGAGCAGAATACCTCATCCTTCTCCTGCGGAACAGCTGGTGGTTTAGAACTGCTAACCCTGAGATTAGCAACCCAATTCGTAACCACTAAGCTACGAACCATTTTATGTATAAACATTCTCCCCTACTAGACCATAAACTGCTAAAGGACATGATCTACGTTTGCCCATCTCTACTTCCTCCATCACCAATACAGAGCTGTTGTTGTGTTGTTGAGTGCCGTAGAGTCGATTTCCAACTCATAGAAACCCTGTATAGGGTTTCTAAAGAGCAGCTGGTGGGTTTGAACTGCTGACCTTGTGGTTTGTAGTCCAGTGCTAGTCCTACACCACCACACCACGAGTCCAGGACAGAGTGCTATGCCTTAATGAATGCAGCAATCACTCAGTAAAAAACAACAACAACAACAAAAAACAACTTATGTAATCTTCAACCTTAATAGTTTCTTTCTAATGCATATAATGTATAACTGTGTGAATAGAACACGTTTCAAAGCAAAAGAAGACAAACTTAGTTAATAGTGATCACTTCGATAAATAAACACAAAAGTTCCTTTACTTGTGAACAGTTTAGGTTACTAATGACTGCTTTAAGTTGATCCACTCATTAGTCCAAGGGGCCCTGATGACCCAATGGTCAATTCATCAGTCACTCCACGGGAGGAAGATGTGGCAGTGTGCTTCTGTAGCTATTACTGCCTTGGAAACCCTGTGGGGAAGTCCTATAGGGCTACTCAACAGCCAGGATTCAACACAACAAGGTTACATACAACCTTGGTAAAACCAGGAATTCACATCTAGGTAAAATTAAGTTTTTGTAAACACTGTAGACATACTGGTGGCTGCTTTGGGCTCTTTGCTTCTTTCTAATGCTTAAAACCTTGATTAAAAAATGTTTATATTTTTGCTTCTTCATCATTAATATATTTCTAACATGACCTTGATTCAGTGACTCACACATAACATACTCTAGCAACGGGATTGCTGTTATTGTTGTTAAGTGTCGTTGAGTCATTTCTGGCTCATAAATAACCCTCTACAGGGTTTCTGAGGAGTGTCTGGTGAGTTTGAACCACCAACCTTGTGATTCAAACTGACCTTGTAATCCAGTGCTTATCCTATAGCACCACACCAGAACAGCTGAGACTAAAATATCTGCGCTCACTGCTAACACGATCTGCTACAGTGGGCAGATACGACTGGCTTTACTCTATCTGACTTGCTATCTTTGCTTCTCTCTCTAAGAGGATAGAATCTAGACAATAATAAGGAAAGAAATAATACTTCAATACTTTGATCATAGGATGTGGCATGGTTAAAATTCTTTCAGAACTACTATCAGACTCTATTTGGTTGCATATTTACAAAGTACTAAAACTTAGACATATGGCGTTAAAGCGAATATTTGGAAATAGATTTTTTAAATTTAGAGCAATGTACTTACTAAGTAAGTGCATGAAATAACTGCAAAGTTGGTCAACTAAATATTTTAATAGCATATTTACATTGATAGCAATGTTTTATAGTCACATTTCAAATATTTTAGAATGCAAAATCTTGTCCATGAGCAATTTAAGAGTAGATAAGCATTTGCCAAATAAATGCTTTTTAATGTGCAAATCACCCAATCCATTTAAAGCACAGCTCATGCTTTCTCTGTTATCTCTACTATTCATAGTAGATTTGATATTCGCTCACACAGTTAGACTTCTTAAAGTTTCACTGTCCTCTATTTGTAAGTACGGAGTCCGGATGCGGCACTGCAGGTTAACAAACTAAACTGCACGGTTGGTTTGAACTGAAAGGTAGGCAGTTCAAGCTCACCAGCCACTCCTCAGAAACCCCATAAAGGGTCACTATGAGTCAAAACTGACCCAACGGCACTTAACAACAACAACATTCAGAAGTATATGCTAATGAAGATACAATGGCAAACACTTGCATTTTTATCTATTGTTGTTGTTGTTGTTGTTAAGTGCCATCGAGTCGGGTCCGACCCATAGCGACCCTGTACAGGGTTTCCGAGGGTGTAAATCTTTACGGGAGTAGAAAGCCTCATCTTTCTCCCGCGGAGCGGCTGGTAGTTTCGAACCGCTGACCTTAAGGTTCGCAGCCCGATTCGTAACCACTACGCTACCAGAGCTCCTTTATCTATATTACACGTTATTCCTACAACAACCAAGAAATGATTCAACTGATGATTTTCTTGCCCTGCTAAGAAAATAATCCACCCACCTATCACTTAAGGAGCTCTGGTGCATAGTGGTTACAAGTCAGGCTGCTAACCTCAAGGTCAGCAGTTCGAAACTACCAGCTGTTCTGCGGGAGAAAGATGAGGCTTTCTGCTCCCGTGAAGATTTACAGCCTCGGAAACCCTGTGCAGGGTCGCTGTGAGTCGGAACCGACTTCACGACACATAACAACAACCACCTATCACTTAATCCACAAACACATAGCTTCAAATGTTCAGTCCCAGTGGGGCTATCTCTAAACACGCCAAGAAAGAAGAAAATGCTTGTTGTTTTACCCTCAAAGTAGGAGAAACCCACTATGAACTTACTTCATCTTGTTGAGGTTTTGAAGTTTTCTATAAATACTGAAGACTAGCCCCTTATCTAATATGTCATTGCCCCAAATTATTCCCAGTATGTATGCTCCCTTTCTACCCTTTTGATGAAATCTTTTGATGCATAAAAGTGTCTAATTTTTCAGGAGGTCCCAGTCATCTATTTTGTCTTCCGATATTTGTGTGTTTTCATTTATGTTTAGTAGTGTTTTTATATCGTGCACTGTTGTTGTTGTTAAGTGCCATACAGTTGGTTCCAACCCATAGCAAGCCTGTGTAGAATTTCTGAGGAGTGGCTGGTGGGTTTGAACCACCAACCTTGTGGTTAAAACTGACCTTTCAGTCCAGCATATTATCCTGCAGCACCACACCAGGCCATGCATTGTTGTTGTTAAGTGCCATTGAGTCCGTTCTGATTCATAGCAACCCCGTGTAGGGTTTCCAAGGAATAACTGGTGAGCTTGAACTGCTGACCTATCGATTCAAACTGACTTACACTCCAGCGCATTAACCCACAGCATCACATCAGGAATCCAGGACATGCATTACAGCCCCTAAATTTGTTCCTATTTTTTCACTAATTGTCTTCATAGTTTTTTAGGTTTTACATTTAGGTCTTTAATCCACATTGAGTTCATTTTTCAATATGGTATAATATCTGGGTTTTGTTTCATTCTTCTGCAAATGGATTTCCAATTTTGCTGGCACCATTTGTTGAAGAGACTATCCCTTCCCCATGTAAATATGTTTTGGCTGGTAGGCTTACTTTTGGGTTCTCAATTCTGTTCCATTGATTTGTGTATCTTTCATTGTCCCAGGCTGTTTTGACTACTATGACTACATAGTAAGTTTTGAGATCGGGAAGGGAGAGACCTCCTACTTTGTTCTTCTTCTTTATTGATGATTTCTTTATCTGGGGTCTTTCTTGTCCATATAAAGTTAGTGTGATAGTTAAAGTTTTTTGTCAACTTGACTTGTCCAGGATTCTCAGTGGTGTGACAGCTGAGATATAGCTCTCCCTCATGATGTGATTTCATATGATAAGCCAATAAAAGGATTAAGGGTGAGACACACAACCCTTAATCCCACCATCATACAGATCTGATTTATGAGAGATTCCCAAGAGTATGGCATGCAATAACTTTTATCTTATGTAAGATAAAAAGAGAGAAACATGAGCAGACAAAGAGAGACCTCCTCCCACCAAGACAGAAGAGCGGGAATTGGAATGTATTCTTTGGACCTGGGGTCCCTGCACTGTGAAGCTCCTAGAGCCAGGGAAAGATTGATGCTACAATGTATGGAGATCTCCAAGGAACACAGGGCCTACCGATGCTGAAAGGAGACAAGGGCCTTTACCCAGAGCCAACAAGGAGAGCGCCTTTCCCAAAAGCCAGTGCTCTGAATTTGGACCTCTAGCCTCCTAAACTGTGACAGAATAAATTTCTGGTTGTTAAAGCCATCGACTTGTGGTATTTCTGTTAAAGCAGCATAAGATACCAAAGACAGTTAGTGGTTAGATTTTCCATCTCTTTAAAGAATGATAATGGGATCTGAATTGGCAATCCTCTTTTTTACCTCCTTTCTCATCCTCCTCCAATTTTTTAAATTTTGTTTTGTTTTTTACAGCATTGTTATATTTTTTATTATAAATTGTCAATCAATCATATCATTACCAACATCATCATTATCTATTAACTGTCAATGACACTGTCTATATTTAATTGTTGCAGTGAGACCAACCGTATGAAACCAAAACTTGACAATAGGAGCACTGTAGAACTCGTAAACCTTCCTGGTCCATGGAAGGCTTTTGGGCCCACTCGTTAAATCAAAGTGGTGGTTTTCATCCAGTTTCTCATCTGTGCCTCTTTCCACATCACAATCTTTCTGTAAAATAAACAAATATCATTTATTGTTATTTACCATATTTCAAGATCGATACAAACATCTTGAAATACGGTAAATAACATATTAGAGATGAATTGAACATACACCAGTCAAATTAGACTCTTAGCTTTATGTTGTTGTTGTTAAGTGCCATCGAGTCGGGTCCGACCCATAGCGACCCTGTACAGGGTTTCCGAGGGTGTAAATCTTTACGGGAGTAGAAAGCCTCATCTTTCTCCCGCGGAGCGACTGGTAGTTTCGAACCGCTGACCTTAAGGTTCGCAGCCCGATTCGTAACCACTACGCTACCAGAGCTCCTTTAGAAAATTGTATGTATTACATAAGTCTTTGACTAGGTAAGAAGCACATTTCTGAATTGTTAACGGACTCTCCAAAATTCAAACCTAGTCAAAACTAAGAGTAATTAATCCTCAAGATTTAAAAGCAAACCTTATTTCTGTTCTCTTTCATCTCCTTTAGCAGTAATTTTGGAATCTACTAGTAACCATAAATGGAGTCCAGGTGTGGCACTGTGGGCTAATGCGCTGGATTGCAAAGTCAGTTTGATCTACAAGGTCGGCGGTTCAAACCCACCAGGCCACTCCTTGGAAACCTCATACAGGGTCGCTATGAGTTGGAACCTCTTGACAGCACTTCCATAGCCATAAAATGCTGGTGAAATCAATAATGAATGATAAAATTATTTTCATAATCCAGGCAGATAAAATGATACTCACTGATGATGCATCTTTCCACAGTCATAGAAAAACTAAGTCCAGTGTAAATGTCAGGATTGTGGTTTTTGGGTTGTTTCTTCACCTTCAGTCCATGAACTCTGAGATTCTGAGTTCCTTAACCCCTCCCTCCCTTGGCTACTATATGTAAATTTCATGTGTATGTGCAATTCCTAGAGAAAGAATCAAGTCTTCCATAACGCAAAACATATGCATAAACTAAAGAATGTGTTGTCTGCTATCAAGTGGGTTCTTGATTTGTGGCGACTCTAGACACAACAGGATTGAATTGCTGTCACCAATAAGGTTTTCACTGGCTGCTTTTGGGGAGCAAATCACCAGACCTTTCTTCCAGTCTGTCTTAGTCTAGAAAGCTCTGTTAAAAACTGGTGAACATCATAGAAACACAGAAGCCTCCACAACAGATGCTGAGCTTGAGATCCATTGCATAAGAATCAAACCCACATGAAGGTGAGAATTATACAACTGAACCACCACTCCCCTGTAGTAAAGAGAGGCCTGGGTTTTGTTTTGTTTTTTTCCTTTTGGGGAGGTAATTTCTAAAGCCTTAAAGTATCCTGACTGATAAGAGTATTTTTGTTTAACTGGGGGCCTTATACTACATCAGAAAGTCTAACAATATGACTTATGATAGAGCTTTTGATGTCCGCCATGTAGAAAGTCAACCACAGAGCTCTTGTAAGGACTGGACACTGAGGCTCAGATGAGCTTCCCTGGTTGACACTGGCGCAATACCAAGAATGTAACACTATCCTCCACTCAATAGAGAGAGACAATTGGAGGCTCCATGTTTGGAACTTTCCTAGACTCCACCCATGTGTCTCTTCACTTGGCTGATTTTAATCTGTGTCCTTTAGCTATGATAAAGCATAACCATGAAAATAACACCTTACAGTGAGTTTTGTTAGTCCTAGCAAATTATCAAATCTAGGAGTGGTCTTAGGGACCCAAAAACTTACAATTGACACTAGAAAGGAGGGTAATTTTGTTGGGTGCGCCCTCTAACTTTGCATTATGTCAGGCAAACAGTTTAACCCTTGTAGGTAATGTGCTATGAAGAGAGGTGTGAATTCAACTACATGAGTGACCACACAGAAGAGAATTTAAAAGAAGAAAACAAAAGAGAAAAGAAAATAAATCTTAAAGCCTTTGAGAAGAGGGCATTTACAGGAAAGGGCAGCAAAAGAGATTTTCCCCTGCTTTATAGATTTCTGCGTGCTTTAAATTTTTTAACGCAAAATGCATTACTTTTGCAATTTTAAAAAAGCAGTATTAAAAGAAAATAAAGGAATGTTCTCTGTTGGTGCTCAGGCTAAATATATTTCTTCAGCCTATCCACAAAATGACTCTCTCTAATGTCAGGTCAGCGTGAATAGCAAGATTTTCCAAGCCAAAGAATGAATAAAATTTTCCTTGCGTTATCAGTAAAGTTGGAGGGAAACATGATTTTTGCGGTCTCGAACATCTAGATGGGTTCTGGACAGTGCCTAATTGATTGTTCAGTCATTCGTGTCACATTAGGCAGTGGGAGTGGGTGGTGACTTACAGGCTTAGAACTAACTCCATTCCTAACAGGTATGAGCCAGTCTAGAGTTAAAATATCTTAAACTCTATTAGAAAAGTCGTCATTTACTGAGATCTTAATGACATCTATACCACTTTAGAAAGATCCCAGAAACTAATTTAAGTAATGCCCTGGTTATTAAATAACTTCTTTATTATTCTCTCTGTTGTTACTGTTAAGGGCCATTGAGTCGGTTCTGATGCGAAGATCCTATATAGGGTTTGCAGGGCTATTGGTCTTTTGGGGAGCAGAAACCCTTATCTTTCTTCCTCATAGCAGTTGGTGGACTTGAAGTGCCTACCTTGTGGTTGGCAGTCCAGTGCTTATCCTACAAAGCCACCACACTCCTCCATTATTTTCTCTGTTGTTGTTGACAAGTGCTGTTGAGTCGGTTCCAATGCATAACGACCCTATACAGGGTTTCTAAGGAGTGGCTGGTGGGTTTGAACCACCGACCTTGTGGTTCGCAGTACAGTGTTGATCCTACAACACCATAGCAGTAGTCCATTATTTTCTCTAGGAGTGTTTTATATCTTGGCTCTTGGTTATGCTTGACAGTTTGTATAGATTATAAAATGCTAATTAAATTTAATGCAGAGTTCAATTCAAAGATATCAACTTTATGATGAAGATCAAGTGGAATATAAATGCAGATTCAGGACTGATTTTTTTTTCTTTTTCTTAAATGATGGTAAGGGCAAAAATAATCAGCTTAGCGATTATTGTCTATCTGTCTGTGTCTCTCTTTCTCCCAAAATCTGATACCAGTAGGCACACAGGATAAAATTAAAATTACAACAATCAGCTCTACTACAATTTATGACTATTTGCCCTGGAATTATAGTCATCTATCCTGTCTAATGATGCTTTAATACAATTGATATCAATTATTCAAACTTTAAAATATTTCTATTGTGATTCAACAACATGTCTAAACTCTTCTTTCTCCTTCCAAACCTGCTTCTTGTCCGGTTTTCCATGTCCCTTCTAGGTGGCCTCATTTTCCCCATCAACCTCTCAGCCATCTTTGCTATCACAATTGCTCCCATCTCTGATGTTCAAATCCTATTTGACTCTTCCTTAAAAATCTCTTTTCCTCACCATTCCCATTTCCACTTACCTGGCTAAAGCCCCTTATTGCTTCTCACCTGTACCATTTGTTTACACTGACCTATGGCCTCTCTGCTTCCATCCTGTTTGCTTGCTAAATCAGTTCATACACAGAAGGCAAAATTATTTTTCCTAATAGATCACCTTGCTACCCTGGACATTTACCATCATTGACTCTCCAGTATCTACAGAGTAAAGACTGTGTTGTTGTTAAGTGCTATTCAGTCAGTTCTGACTTATAGTGATCCTGTATAGAGTTTCCAAGAAGAGACTGGTGGGTTTGAACTGCCAACCTTGTGATTCCAACTGACTTTGCAGTCCAGTGTTTATCCTACAGCACCACATTAGGACTCCAGTAAAGACTACACTCTTTGGTAAAATGAACAACAGTTCCCATGATCGAGTCTCAATCAACTTTTCCAGCTATATCTACATGGACCTCTGAAATGATGCCCTCATCATCACCTGGACTTCAGTCACACCACACAATTGGCCAAGTTTTTAGATGCCCTGTTTTCTCCCACCTGTTGTCTCTACATAATTTCCCTTCTGAGTGAATGCTATTTCTTATCTCTACTGTCTTCAAATCACAGCTAAGATGCAACCTCAATTATGAAGTTGTCTCCAGTCACTAATCCTCACCTAATGACCCCTAATGAGAACAGTCCTCCTTTTGGACTAGGTAGTGCACTCTACCATATTGCTATAGTTTCTAAGGAAGTATATGTCATCAAAAGTCAAATGATAGAAAAATGTGGAAATACACAATGGTGATGACTGCATATATAAGAAACAATTAATGACACTGAAATGAACATGCAAAAAAATGTTGAAATGGCAAATATTCTGTTACATGTATTTTTACCACAATTTCGTTTAAGACCTCCTTCTAAGCAATGAGTGGCTAGAGAGATGTACAAATCTCATCGTTACTTTGCCTGTTGAAATTTCAACAAGGAATTTTCTAAAACCTCATTTGAGTAAATTCAGCAACTAATTTCCATTCCACTTCAACTCCAGAATGATGGCCTTTCTTCTCCTATCACCATCAGATCTCCTATCACCATCAGATATTCATTAGCAGTACATTCATTAATAGTACAACAAAGTACAGATGCTCTATATCTAAATCTCTTCATTTAGCCTATCTTGGAGTTTTCTCCTAAAACACAAAATGCAAATTATTTTCCTTGACTAATCAATCACATTCTATTTAACCAGCACTATGAAACCACCACTGGACCAATAAACGACATTCTTATCAATGGAGAAAAGATTGAAATTGTCAAGGACTTCATTCTTCTTGGATTAACTATCAACACTCACGGAAGCAGCAGTCAAGAAACCAAGCGACATATTGCGTTAGGCAAATCTGCTGCACAAGACCCTATTAAAGTGTTGAAGAGCAAAGATGTCCGCTTGAGGACTAAGGTGCGCCTGACCCAAGCCATGGTATTTTCAGTAACCTCATATGCATGCGAAAGCTGGACTGTGAATAGGAAGACTGTAGAAGAATTGATGCTTTTGAGTTATGGTGTTGGAGGAGAATATTGAAAGTGCCATGGGCTGCCAAAAGAACCAATAGATCCATTTTGGAAGAAGTACTGCCAGAGTGCTCCTTGGAGGTCAAGATGGTCAAACTTCGTCTCTCATACTTCGGACATATTGTCACTGGAGAAGGATATCATGTTTGGTAAGGTGGAGGGTCAGAGAAAGAGAGGAAGACTTCCAACGAGATAGATTGGCCAAGTGGCAGCATCGGTGGACTCAAGCGTGGCAATAGTAGTGAGGTTGGCCTAGGATCGGGCAGTGTTTCGTTCTGCTATGCATAAGGCCGCTATGAGTTGGTACCGACTCGATGGCACCTAACAACAAGGACCGCAAGGTCAGTTTGAACTAGAAGATCAGCAGTTCCAACTCACCAGCCATCCTCGGAAATCCTATACAGGGTCATTATGAATCGAACCAACTCAAAGGCACTTAACAACAACAGGAACATGAAATCTTAATTACCTGCCGAAGTGCTGACTCCTCTCTTTACTCTCTATCTATCAAACTTCTAAATCCAATGAAGAGGATCAATAACTACTGCTTAAATTCAAAAACAAAGGAAAAGTTCTTGCTATTATTGCAATCCACTCAAAACAGAACAGATTTGAAATTCTTTTTCAGGAAATGTTTTAAATTGAGGAATCGTGAGGCATCAAGGATATTCAGAATGAGGTCACATCTGCCTTAGTAAATAAAGTATCTCTAGAACCTCATTTCTTTTCAGTCACACAGAAGATGGTCATTAAATATTCATGTCCAAGCCATCAGGGTGAGTGATTGCTATAAATGGGGCCACTATTACAGTCAAACAACACATAGCATTAGGCAAATCTGCTGCATAAGACCTCTTTAAAGTCTTCAAGACCAAAGATGTCAGTTTGAAGACTAAGGTGTGCCTGACCCAGGCCATGATACTTTCAATATCCTCATATTGTGAAAGTTGGACAGTGAATAAGGAAGACCATAGAAGAATTGATAAATTTCCATTATGGTTTTGGAGAAGAATATTAACGGCACCATAGACTGCCAGAAGAACAAATCTGTGTTGGAAGAACTACAGCCAAAATGCTCCTTAGAAGCCAGGATGGCCAGATTCCGTCTCTCATACTTCAAACATATTATCAGGAGGGACCAATCAGTCCCTGGAGAAGGACATCATGCTTGGTAAAGTGGAGGGTCAGCAAAAAAAAAAAAAAAGGAAGACACGCAAAAAAGATGGATTGGCACAGTAACAGCAGCATGACTCAAGTGTAACAATTGAGCAGTTGGTACAGGACCGGACAGGGTTTCTTTCTGTTGTGCATAAATAAGGAAGCTATGAGTTGGAACCAACTGATGGCACCTAACAACAATAATAATACAGCCAAGGATTTCTTGGCTGGTGCAACTGGTTAGCGTACTTGGCTGCTATCAGAAAGGTTGGAAGTTCGAATCAACTCAGAAGTACCTCAAGAGAAAGAAAGTCTTGATACTTTTCTTCTCAAAAATCAAACACTGAAAATCCCATGGAACACAGTTCTACTCTAACACACATAGGTTTCCACAAGCCAGAATTAACTCAGTAGCAACTAGTTTTATATTATAGCTTTAATTTAACTTCTCAGGGGGATTTACTATGTTTTTGTTTGATTGCCATTCATGACAGGATTCCTTTCTCTAAAATTCTCCCCATTTAGGATCAACCACTTAGTGGAATGCTCCAGCTATCTGCAAAGCCTTTAAGTGTTTGTGAAAGTTGATTCTTCCTGTGAAACTAGAAGATATAGACTGTGAGAGATAAACTATACCCACTTGAAAAATATTATTTGCTACTACGTGTAAGAAACTTCTAACAAGTCTGCATATTTATGTGTGCATATAGATCGATGATAAGGAACTCTGGTAGCAGAGTGGTTACAAGTCAGGCTGCTAACCTCAAGGTCAGCAGTTCAAAACTACCAGCTGTTCCATGAGAGAAAGATGAGGCTTTCTGTTCCCATAAAGATTTACAGCCCCGGAAACCCTATGCAGGGTTGCTATGAGTCGGAACCAACTCCGCAGCACACCACCGCCACCACCATAGATTGATGATAGGTAGTTTCCTTCACTGAAAAGCAAGTAAAAGAAACTAATAGCTATGTATTCATGAAGTCACACACATTGTTTCACATGTAAGATTGCATCCTATTTCTAAAGAGGTGCATGGATGTGCTCTACTATAGCTGCCCATGCACCATCTCCTTAGCTGCTAATGGACAAAAAGCATATGCTTTTAGGAGCAGACAAAGAAACCCAGAACTCTATATTAGTGGGGTAACAAAGAAGGGGCTATTCTCTGGCTTCAGTAAATCTAGAACAACCTATAATTTATATCAATAAATGATGTTATTGACTTTGACTTTTACTACCCTCTTTTACTGCTTATCGTGCCCCCTTTCATTAGCTTAAGTTAATATTTACAGAATATGTAATCTAACAAATATCTCACAAATACAAGATGCTAGCAAAAGATGCTTCACTAACATTGTTGTTGTTATTGTTAAGTGCCGTGCCGTGGAGTCAGCTTTGATTCACAGTGACCCTGAATAGGGTTTCTGAGGCTTTAAATCTTTGCGGGAACAGAAAGCTTCACCTTTCTCCCACAGAACGGCTAATGGGCTCAAACCTTCAACCTTGAGGGTCCAAGACAAGTGCTTATCCTATAGAGCCACCACACACCCAGTCACTAAAGTAGTAAGTTCCAAAAAAGATATTTTATTACACCTGACAATAAATCACAAGTTTATAAACAGTGATCCAAATTGAGGCATAAAAAAACGCAGGATATATCCAGAGCAGATTGAAGACTCTCCCAGAGAAGATGGCTATGAGAAAAGTAGCTCAATTTACCGATGAAAGAGTGTAAATCCTGGAACTCAAGTAAACTATTTATAGCCACTGGATTAAACAAATGAGAAGACTTGTAGAGTGTTACAGTGAAGATCAACACAAATTCCAAGCCTGCACCTTTTAAAGTAAATATTTAAGAGTATAAGGCATTCATCACTGTTGCTTCAGAGAAGTAGAAAGTCTGTTTATTATACTAGTTAAGAAGGAAAATAAAGAGGTAAACAATGATCTTTTTTGACTCTGGAGTATTTTGTTTATCATATATGGGGTCAATTAGGTCTACTGTACATGCTGACCATAGTATAATATAATTAAAATTACGCAGAAGTGAATTAAATATCTGACTTATGATTCAGAAGGCCTTTTAAAAAACTGCACAACAACTCCAGGATCATCTGTCATTATTGGACTGTAACATGTTAATAGAAATTCTCATTGAACAGCTTGCCATGCTAATATAATTTACATATATATATATATATATATATTTCCATGCAATTAATATTATGAACAGTCAATTCACTGTGATACTTACCATACAAACATTGTCTTTGGTACTGCTGGCGTTCTGGTCACCATAATACCACGTAAATTGGTAGTCCTGGGGCTGCGGAATATGGGACATCTCAGCTTTGCTTTTAAATTCCAGTGTCAGAATGGTGGGTGGTAAAAGAATACTTAAAATGATCTTTAAAAGGAAAGAAAGTAAAATAAATAGCAGAGGTTACACAAGGCACAAACATTATTCAAAAACAAAATTAAGAATTTGATTGTATGTAAAATGTCAGGCCCATCCTCCGTTCAGTTTATATCATAATCCTATTTATAATTTTGGACTCAGCAATTCCATATATAAATGTTTCTCTCCTCAATAATGTCACTGCAAGGTTATTTGTAATTGTGAAAAATTGTCGTTCACCTAAATGTTCATCTGCAGAAAGGAAGGTATTATCATTAGTGCCGTTGAGTCGGTTCCGACCTTGTATAGGGTTTCCGAGGTGGGTTTGAACTGCAACCATGTGGCTTGCAGTCTAGTGCTGATCCTACAGCACCACACCAGGTGTCTAGAGAAACAGTATATAATATGGAAAACTATGCAAGCATTAAAAAGACAAAAACAATATTAACTGTAATAAAAAAGTATATTAATTGAGGGGGAAAAAACAAATCATAGAATAATATATATGCTGTAATCCCATTTTCTGTTAATAATAATTTTTAAAAAAAGATATAAGCAGATTTGTCCAGCCAACATGGATCAAGGAAATCTGAATTCCATAAAAATTTGCAATTCTTTTCTATATGTTTCCCCTTTTGATCAGGATTCTTCTATAGAATCTTTGATCAAAATGTTCGATAGTGGTAGCTAGTTCTGGTTCTTCTGGTGTCGTGGCAAAAAAGGTTGTTCATGGAGGGGAGAAAGCTAAAGATACATAGATACATGACATACATCCATTTAAAAGTTCAGAACCTATACATACCACATATGTGTGTGTGTATATATATACATATATGGTATATGTAGGGGGTTTTTTGGTGTTGCTGTTTCTCTGGATAGGGTACCACACACATTCCACTCAAGGTCTTCTCCCCTGATGGTCCTAGGGTCCTCTGTTCCTATACTGTAAGATTAATTACTCCTCCCATTTTGTTACAAAACTTCTACCTTTACATTGTGACAATCGCAATTAGTCATGATAACAATTACTCACTATTGAATCATAAGAATCTTCTCCTCATCTCTTTTCACCAGACCTGCCTAGACAAGATGAAAACTATTCAGTGGGGGTTCGACCTTCCTCCGCACACTCTAAAACTAAACTCCCTATTGAAAACTTGTAAACCAGTCACTTCGTGCTTTTATCCTCCACCATCTCCCATTTTAGGTAGCCAATGTATAAGTTGCCTGTTCTCATCAACCCTGTGTACAGAGGGGATAGGATTGATCCTTGATGTGAAGACTCTTTCCCTCTCAGTTGGTATTTTGAGCTACTGCATCTATAAGTATAGGTCAAGTTCATCAAATTTTAGCAATTTACACATTTCCTTTATCAAAATTTATCTTCCTCTAGTCGAGTTTTGACTATCAAGCCATCGAGGCTAGGTCAACTGGGTACGATCTGTAGGTTTGGGTGTTCTTGTGCATCTCCCCTCACGTCATATCAACTGGATGCTTCACTCTCAGTTCTAGGCCTCCAAGGCTATGTCCTTGTCCATGGGGTCAGGAATTCCCAGGTCTCACCATACTTTGTACCAACCAGCCCTTCCTCTTCTCTCTCAAGTATATGTAGGTTTTGAACTTTTAAATGGATATATGTCTCATTTTTTTTTTCCCCCTTGCCCCTAACAGAACCAAAGAAAGGCAGTTAGAAGGAATTTTCAACATTGAAATATTTTTCAATGAGCACAATGATTGCTATAGGATAAGCACTAAACTGATAGCCACAAGATCATCAGTTCAAACCCACCAGCAGCTCTTGGAAACCTTATACAGGGTTGCTAGGAGTCAGCACACAACAATAACAAGTCACAAAGTAGTAATTATGGAGTACTGAAGTAAATAGGTTCAACTTCCTCCCACAGAATGGCTAATGGGCTCAAACCTCCAACCTTGTGATTCTAAGACCAGTGTTTATCCTATAGAGCCATTCATTAAAGTAGTAAGTACCAAAAAAGATATTTTACTACACCTGACAGTAAATCACAACTAGTGGGTTAAGAGTTAACTGGCTTGCTAACCACAAGGTCGGTAGTTTGAGTTCACTAGTAGTTCCGTAGGAGAAAGATGAGGCTTTCTGCTCCTGCAAATATTTACAGATTTGGAAACCCTATACATGGTTGTTATGAGTCAAAACAGACTACAGCAATGAAAAACATGAGCAAGTTACTTATAACAACAAAAACATTTTTGTAAGCCCAGCTTACATATATTAATAATTATCTAATTTTCTTTTTGAACCTTCCAATGCAACTCCAGTCAGAGTTGTCATTATTATCCAATTACTAGGATACTTCCGATCACATGATTTAATATGCACCCGATACAGGCACACACTGTTGTTTTCATGGCTGTCAGTGTTTTCACAGTAGCCAACTTTGTCAAATTTTCTGGTGTTTAACTATGTTGTTGCTGTTGTTAAGTGCCATCGAGTTGGTTCTAACCCATGGTGACCCTGTATTGCTAACCTATCAGTTCAAACTGACTTTGCAGTCTAATGCATTAACCCACAGCTCCACACCAGGACTCATGCTTTAAGTATAATATTGTGGTAATTAGTATATATTAATAAATTTATATCAACAAATTTTGAGAATGAAGTAGTAATTAAAAGAGGAGAAAAAGGTTAAAGTTTCAGTTAATCATAATGTTGTAGCTAATGTTATAATTTGGAGTCCTGGTGTAGCACTGTGAGCTAATGTGTGGGACTGCAAAGTCGGTTTGAACCTCAAGGTCGGTGGTTCAAGCTCACCAGCTGCTCCTTGGAAATCCTATACAAGGTTGCTATGGATTGGAACTGACTCAACAGCACTTAACAGCAACAAAAATGTTATAATTCAATGTCAAAAGTTTTTACAAAACAATTCTGTTTTTCATGTTCATATAATGTAAGAAATACTACACTAAAACAATCGACAACCATATTTATCATATATTGTTCTTTAATTAAAAGCAATACTAAATATTACTAAAGATTCTGTATGGTCTAGTATGGGAGACAGTCCATAGAGTGGGGAGTGGGGGTCAAGCAGGGTAACACCATCAATTACTGAAACTAGGTAACACCAAACTTATGCACTGGTCACACTCTTGTCAGCCTGTATTTTGTGTGCATGTGTTCTGAAATGGCCTTTTATTGTTTTAGTTTAAAGCTTAATCTCCTATGAAGTTTCTCTGGACTTTCTCCAGTTCTGATATAGGAGCACTGGTGTTGTGCTACATGTTAATGTGCTGGATTGCAAAGTTTATTTGAATCTCAAGGTTGTAGGTTCAAGATTACCAGCCACTCCTTGGAAACCCTATACAGGGTTACTTGGGTCTTAACCGACTCAACTGCACTCAACAACAATATGGGATCATATGTGCATGTTGTCTGCTTTCTTTTTTTATTTTAATGTTTTAGTGTGAATTATGTGATCGTTTACATGGGAGAACATTAGCTTTACATTCATCCTGTCTTTTATCATTTCATTGCCATGGTTACAATCCCCTCCATGCATCATCAACCAACCAAATGGTATACCCCGCAAGCCAGCTTCCTGGGCATCAGCACACAGTCCCTCTCCCTCTCTGGGTCTCTCCACGTCATCATCTCTGCCTCCATCTCTGGCATCACTGTTTCTCTGGGAAGGATCCCACACTCTGCTCATCTCCCTTGATGATCCCAGGGTCCTCTGCTCCTGGACTGCAAAGTCAACCACTCCCCTCCTTTTGCTACAAAATGTCTACCTTTACATTTCCAACCCTCACAGTCAGTCCTGATAGTAATTATTCATTATTGTACCACGTGAGTGAAACCACATCTCCTTTCATGAGCCCTGTCCAGACAGATTGGATACAACTCAGTGGAGATTCTACCTTCTTCTGTAGGATCTAGGCTCCCTCTTGAAAGCTTGTAAGCCAGTCACTTCTTGCCTTTGTAGCTCCCTCCCCCATTTTGGGTAGCCAATGTCCAAGTTTCCCATCCCTGTCTACCTTGAATATTGAGGAGGTGGGAATGATCCTCGTTGTAAAGAGATGGTCCTTCTTTTGAGTTACTGCATCCATAGGTGTAGGTCAAATTCATCAAATTGTATCAGATTATTCTTTTTCACCTCTTCTTTCTTCTTCTGAGCTGTGATCATCCAGCCATTGAAGCCAGGTCAGTGGGTATTATCTGTAAGTGTGCATGTTCTTATGCATATGCCCTCTCTTCTTATCAGCTGGACACTTCATTCTCTACTCTTGCTTGTTCTTATAGTCAATCGGACTGCCGTTATTGTTTTGTATTTTTCCTGTTGGTCTTTCTTTCAAGAAATATCTTCTGTTCTTCTAGCCACTCCAGGTTGGTCTGCTTATCCTTTCCAGTGGAAATTTCCCACCTCAGAAGATTCTGGATGGGGTTCAGGATTCCACCTATGGTCTTATGTATTGCAGAGCCTCCACAGGAAGCCTCCTTCACTGGGCACGTTGTAGCCCCATTTTAGGTATTCAAATCAGTTATAGGCAGAAGACAGACTTACAAGCTTTCTATGGTAATATTTGTGGCTATTCCTTTCTTTCCCCCTCAAGTGTCTATTTTATAATGGCATTCCAGGGAAACCAAGATTCATAAGACAGCCAAGCATCTTAACATTATTTCTCCCCTTTTCCCCATTCCAACCATGTCTCAATTCCTGTATCCCAGAGCCCCGTTGTTCCAAGGTTGTGCATACATCATTATTTACCTCTGTCCCACTTAGCCCATGCAAACCTGACTAATTGTTTTCCCATCCGCCTTGTTCTTCCATTCTCCTCCCCCTTCTTGTGCATTGCCCCCCAACCCCGCACCCAAACTATCCTGTGTCTATTATCTACCCTGTGCTCCACCTTCCCCTCCCCACTTCACCCCACCCCCTACGTTCCGGTAACCAACAAAGAACCACCCCCCCCTTTAGTATGGGTTCTTTTTCTTAGTCTTTTACGGTAGTGGTCCTATGCAGTATTTCTCCTTTTGTCACTGACTAATTTCACTCAACATAAAGTCCTCAGGGTTCATCCATGTTATGTGATAGCTTACAGCTTCCTTGTTGTTCTTTAATGTAGCATAATATTCCATTGTGTGTATGTACCACAGTTTGTTTATCCGTTCTTCAATTGATGGGCACTTACGTTGTCTCCATCTTTTTGTCGTTGTAAATAGTGCTGCTATGAACATTTGTGTGCAAATATCTACTCGTGTTATGGCTCATATTTCTTGTGGGTAAATACCAAGTAGAGGAATTGCTGGATCATAAGGTACTTCTATCTCCAACCTTCTGAGGAAGCGCCATATTGCTTTCCAGAGAAGTTGGACCATTTTGCACTTCCACCAGCAATGCAGGAGCATCCCAGAGTCTCACATCCTCACCAGCATTTATTGTCCTCTTCCTTTTTGATCTTTGCTGTTATTGCTGGTGTGAGATGATACCTCACTGTTGTTTTGATTTACATCTCTATGATGGCTAGTGATTGTGAACATTTCTTCATATGTTTGTTGGCTGCCCAGATCTCCTCTTCAGCAAAGTGTCTGTTCATATCTGTTGTTTGCTTTCTTTTCAGATGCAAGCCCCAAAATGCATGTAATCATCTAGGTCTAGAAACATCATAGTTATCACACACAGTGATAGTTTTACACCAACTCATTACTAACCTACTTTCGGATGAGACCTCACATTCTATTGCTCTGGTCCAGGGCAGAGCAATTGACTTGAGAAACAATGACATCATTAGCTCATTTATAAGAGAGAGCTTGGAACCTATTACCCTCAATGTAATTTAAGAATTTACCCATCCACATCTTAACTAGTCTTCCTCCAGTCTCCATCCAGAGTCCTGATGTGGTGCTGTGTGATAAAACACTGGACTACAAGGTCAGTTTGAAACACAGATTAGTGGTTACAACTCACCTGCCGCTCCTTAAAAGTCCTATACAGGGTCACTATGAGTCAGAACCAACTTGACAGCACTTAACAACTACAACAACAACAACAGTCTCCATCTGCTTGTAATTAGTCTATACAGGGTATCCAGACAGCACTTAACAACTACAACAACAACAACAGTCTCCATCTGCTTGTAATTAGTCTATACAGGGTATCCAGACAGCACTTAACAACTACAACAACAACAACAGTCTCCATCTGCTTGTAATTAGTCTATACAGGGTATCCTAGTAATGATTTGCAAATGTCACAAGACAAGCACTGATGAATCTGACACTGGAAGCAACGCAGTTTACTATGGTTCAGAGGTATTGAGTAGCTGATCCAGCCTCCTTTACTAACTCACTTCTTTGTTTGGGGGCAAACCATTTCATCTGGCTTCACTTAAGTCTCTTTTTTGGTATAAGGCCAGGAATTGTGCTAGTGATCACCACAACAGCAGCTAATAACATCTTATGAGGATCAAGAAGTCATTAGTTTCTCAATAACAAAGTAAAATATGTACAGGGAACAGCCACAGGGAAAATGATTTCTCCAGCTTCCAACTATCAGATTCATCTCACTTCCTGAGCATTTAAAAGGGACTATTACCGGAGCTTCTGTAGTTTAAGGTGAACCCATTCACAGCTCTGCTTTGTCATCTCCAAAACTGCAACTGAAATAGACCAAGGATAATTTCTTCTGGAAACAATTTCATGCTGCTTCTTTGATACTTCGTTAAAGGGGCACTTCCATGAGATAATTATTGTTTGGCATTTCTCTTATTTCTGTGACCTCCGTGGTGGAAATTAAAGTGTTAAAAGAATTTGCACATTATCATTTTTGAGGGGGAGGGCTCTTCTATAGAGTGTGCCTCAAAAACAGTCATTTGAATAGGATAGATCACATTTTTAGGAACTCTAGAGACAATGGGCTCAAGCATAACAACAGTTGTGAGGATGGCGCAGGGTCAGACAGCATTTCATTTTGTTGTGCATCGAGTAGCTATGGGTCTAAACCAACCTGATGTCACCTAACAACAACAATAACAACAATAAGGAGTCCATGAGCAGGGAAGAGCTCAGAGGCTAGCTGAAAGATGAACAGTGCAACCTACTCACAGATACCTCACAAGAAAGGTCTGGCAATGCACTGAAAAAAAAAACAATAAAACAGCCATTGAAAATCCTATGGAGGTTGGAAATGCAGAGGTGGACATTTTGTAGCAAGGAGGGGAGTGATTAACTTTTCAGTCTAGGAGCTGAGGTCCCTGGGACCATCAAGGGAGAAGAGTGGAGAGCAGGACCCTACCCAGAGAAGCAGTGATGCCTGAGATGGAGGCAGAGACGATAACGTGGAGAGATGGAGCGGCTGGGGACTCTAGACCCAGAGAGGGAGAGGGCCTGTGTGCTGACGAGCGGGGAGCAGGCTTGTACGGTATACCCTTTGGTTGGTTAATGATGCATGGAGGGGGTTGTAACCATGGCAATGAAACTATATAAAATAGGATGAATGTAAAACTAATGTTCTCCCATGTAAACTATCACATAATTCACAATGAAGCATTAAAAAAAAAAGGAAAGAAAAAGAAAACCCTATGGAATACAGTCCTATTCTAATACACGTGGGTTTACCAAAAGTCAGAGTCAACAAAGTATTTGTACGTTTGTTTGTTTTCCTTTGAGGGAGAATAAAATTAAAATATAAAATAAACTTCTTAATGCTCATACTTTATTCCCTTTTATTCAGTTTCAAAAGCACATGTGATTTTTAAGGTTGACCACACTCCAAAGCTTTAGGCTTAGATTGTTGTCAAAAATTAAGTGCCATTAGTGGTTACCTAAATTACTCTTGGTTATTCAAGGGTGAGCAGTGAGGTAATGAAATAGGAGGACTTGGAGATGGCCAGTTGTATGGGCAAATAGCTACTTATTCCCTGAAACAACATATAGGATGAGCTGAATAACCAAGATTAATAATTTAATTTAATTTATTATTGTAATTTTATTTAGTATTCTTAAATTGAGAAAAATTCCACTAAAAAGTCTTAACTAACACTGTCATTGCATGATGGCTTCACACAATAATTATTGGACTTAGAACTACACAACCAGCAGTTTGAGCCCACCAGCCAATCTGAAGGAAAAAGATGAGGTTTCTGGCTTCACAAAGATTTAAAGCTTCAGAAACCCAATACAGGGTCACTATGAGTCGGAAGTGACTAAACAACACTTAACAACAACAACAACAACAAATACTATTATAATTATAAGGGACAAAGTAGTCTGGAAATAACAAAAACAAATTTCTAAACATCTCTACTTGAATATGACGGTTGTGGTAAACCAAACAGACATCATTATCCTCATTTAAATAAAAAAAAAAACTGCTGTTGTTAAGCGCTGTTTAGTCAGTTCCAACTCATAGAGATCCTGTATACGGTTTTGGAGGAGAGGCTGGTGAGTTTGAACCGCCAACCCTGCGGCTCAAACTGACCTTGCAGTCTAGCGCATTATCCTGCAGTGGCACACCAGAGTAGTTGTCAGAGGTTCCACAGGTAAGGCCTCCCAAGTCATCCACGAGAATCACAGATACAAAGATACACTTCTGGAACAAGTGGAAAATGGAACTCAAGGGCACAGACCTTCACACTAAGTAAGATTAAACTCCAAGACCAGTCAATTTACCTTTAACCAAGAGTGCTTCCTCATTTTCAGGCGCCCCATCCACATGTCAGTCAGTAGCATTTGGGTACAAGTATGTGAGACAAAGGGTCGCAAGCCTCCAGACACTGCCAGTTTCAAACAGGTAGCATTGCTCCAGTTTTTGAGTTCATAGGTCAACAACTTCATAGCCATTCGTTCATTCTGCTTGAATGCCTTCTCCAACACGTCCAGGGCAAGCTGGCCAAACTGTCTGTAATGATTGAGAAAAGTAACGCAGGGCAGAGCTCAAGAACCATTCTAAAAGACTGAATGTTGTTTTTGTTAAAGTGCCATAGAGTCGGTTCCGACCCAGAAGACTCAAAAAAAAAAAGACCAATTAATTAGCCTCAATAAAAAGAGCAAATAGCAATTTAGTAATCACTGTTTACAGAAGCAATTTTAAGAGGGATTGCCTCTCAGTTGTTCTTAACTTCCTGAAGGAGGGTATGTGTTGTAGCATTCAGAACTTGCTTTACACAAGAAGTACCTGAGCTATTCATGGAAGGACGCTCACTCCACATAACACAGTGCGTACACTGTACTGTGGAATCCTGGTGTGGTGCTGCGGGTTAATGCGCTGGACTTCAAGGCTGCTTTGAACCACAGGTCTGTGGTTCAAGCTCACCAGCCGATCCTTGGAAATCCTATACAGACCGCTATGGGTCGGAATCGACTAGACAGCACTTAACATCATCATCATCATACTGTACTGTATATCTTGGTTTGGAGCTCCCTGACAAGACTCAATAAAGACTTTCTTGACAGAAAAGATTATTCAAAACTGAATAAGCAATTAAGGACACGTGTAGAACAAATTTTTGTGTTCTGTGTTTTTGGAGGATTTTTAAATATATGATAAATTTTTAGGAGTTTACAAAATCTATAAACAACTGAGGAGGACAAGTCACCCGGGGATGCCCCTGGGCTTCTGATTTTATCATTTTCATGAGACTGTATTCTCTGAAAAGTAGATGTTTTCATTTTGTGGAGTTGTGTTTTGTTTTTTTTCAATCAAATTTATAAATTACTTTCCATTAATCCTTCTTCCCTCATTATTAAGGAAAAATCACAAATATTTATAACTTCAATAATCAAAAATTTTCTACCGCCATCATCACTCTCTGTTTCCTTAACACAAAGCCTTTTTTTCTCTCACCTCAGATACTTTAAAGTAAAAGTAAACAGCAGGTTTTACTTTCATTTAGAGGCATACAACAAATATCAAAGAATTTGGGAGTTGTAAGGGACTTACAATATCATCAATGAACATTTCATAGTTAACAAGCTTTAGCCCGGAAAGATCAACTGACGGGCCCAATTTGTAACCAACTGTACTGAGACTATCACTCAAGTCTCCTACCTTGAAGGCTACTTCTTTTCCCTTTATTCCACAAAGCTCTTTTGAATATTTAGGGGCCCTTTTAATAGGCAAGTCCATGAAATGAAATGCACAGCAATAACTCGAGTCATTTTATAAGTTCTTAACTTCTTAGGTGAGGGAGATAAAATTATCTAGCCATTCTAAGAACTGTCGATGTTTATTATGAAGTGAAGAAAGAACTCCTACTTTGAGTAATTTTTCAACTCGTCAGAGGCATCATCCACCATATTGCTCTGCTTAGCTTCATGGGCCATTGCTCGGTAGAGTTTGCAGGCAATCACAGCCTTAACCGTGGCCTCCTCTCCGTGTTGCCAGAAGAACATGGCCATCTTCTGCCTTTTCATGAGCACAGCCCAAACCAGCAGGTCATTGTAAGGGTAAATGAAGCCAGTGGACTCAGGGTCCTCTGATATGTTTTGTTCTTTTGACTTCTTCCTTGATTTGTGAAGGGCTACAGTCTTTTCCTATAGGAAAAGTAACAATGGAATGAGTTTCAGCATACTCAGATGTATGATGGCTCTACTTACCTAATGAAATGCAATAGGAATCTTGGAGATAATTTAAGACTATCAATGCTGAAAAAGAGATGGAAATAACAATAGGACTTTTTAAAACAGCAAGTAAAATTTCGACTTTTTAGTAATCTGTTCCTTGTGATATTCAATAGATCCAGTGTCCCTAAACTGAGATGCCTTCAACTCATTTAACACAAGTTAAAACAGTACCCATTCAGGTATTCAAGAGAAACTATTGAAATGACAATTTCCTGGTAAAAGGAAAATAACAAAAAAAGACTCTACCCTAACCTTACCAAATAGATTAACTTCCACTTAAAAAAATGCAACAAATATTCCCCACATGTATCCATATAAATAGACAGGTTTTGAGTTCTCTTTCCTTAATTCTGCTTCCTTTATTCATACTGATGATATAATTTAAAAATTAGCTTCTCTACATGGTAAACTTACCCTTTTTAGCTCAGCTCAACTGTTGCTCTCTCAAGTCTCCATTTACATCTGTATCATTTTATTTTTCAGTGTTCATCACATTACATTATGATTCTTTCTTTCAAGAGTGAAGGTGGGATCATTTCCCAGTCATTATTATTTATTTCCCTACCCACCAACATCCCAATTTCAACCAAAAATTTTATATAATGTCTGTTGTTGTTATGTGTCATGGAGTCAGCTCTGACTCATAGCGACCTCGTACAGGGTTTCCGAGGCTGTAAATCTTTACGGGAGCAGAAAGCCTCATCTTTCTCCCACGGAACAGCTGGTAGTTTCAAACTGCTGACCTTGCGGCTTGCAGCCAGATTCGTAACCACTACGCTACCAGAGCTCCTTTTACATAATGTCTGGCAAGTAACAAATATTGAATAATCATTTTGTAAAAATAAAGGGGTTACAGTAAAAATTGTACCAAATTTCTTACATTTCTATAAATAAAGGGAATTTGTGTTCACAACAGATGAACAAGAGTGAATTTATAAAGTATATTTTAATCCCAGGAACTATGGAAAGTATCCAACTGTGGGCTAACAGAGTAGCCATTTATATGAAAACTCTTGAGCAAATGCATTCAGCCCCAGAGGACAGTGGGCTTGAGGGAGCACAGGGAGGGAGGGAATCACAGTATTGTTCTCAAACACAGATATGTAAATACACTGCCTTCATGTATGGATCTGTAACATTAGGTTAAAGTTTATTTCAAGAAAGATTCAAAAAGGGAAAAAAGAAGATGGCAAAAGTTCAATTGAAAAGAGAAGGGGAGGAAAAAGGAAGGAGTCACATCCAATCAGCCTTAGGAAGAAGGGAAAGGGTGTGGCATTGGAACAATGGTTGCATTTCTAAGTACCAGCCCGTGGACTGCCTTCCGGAAATCCCCACTGGGACCTGGGAAAAGTAGGAACAAGGAAGCAAGGCTGAAGCCCAAGCCCAAGCAGTCTATTAGGTGCAAGTGCTCTGTCCTGAGTCTTTGCTCATTGTTCTTAAGAGGACAGCTGTGTTATGCTTTTGACTTGTACCATCTGTTTATGGTACTTGTAAATGGTCGCTCTATTTGCACCTCCCTCTATCCAACTTTAAAGAAAGAAACAGTCTCAGTCCACAAAACCAATTTCCAAGTCTAAAAACAAGCAAATGATACCTTGAGTTTGTAAGGCTGGGCCGTTCTAATGAACTGAGAATGCAGTGTGCTTTCTGCAGAATCATTTCTATTTTCTGAAGTGCATCTCCGGTGAAGGGAAGGCTGGGAGAGGCTCTGAGCAAAGCTGGTCACTCTCTGGCATGTTATTTTGTTTTAAAAAAACAAAAACAAAAAGGGAAAAATAAATTACAGTAGTAACAACCAACATTTTATTTCTAGATAATAATGAAAACCAATTATAATGCTCTATCCTTTCAAAAATCCAGTGTTTTTCTCTGTCTTTCATCCTGATAAGTAGTAGTTAACTTCCCTGGAGGAAGGTTCTCCTAACAAGAGTCTCCTTCTTATTAGATACACTGTTTTTTCCTAATAGTTAAGAGAACACTCTTTCTTGTTCCCAATTACAGGTCCGCAGTCCTTTCTATGTGGAAATTCCATTGGAATCAATGGGTGTTTTTATACCTGGAACAAGTTCAAAATAGGCAATAAATATTCATCATTCTGTTAAGAAAAAGTCCCTATCCACAAACAACTCCAAGGTTAAGGTTAAGTCAAAAAGCTATTGGAATTTCTCCAGGTGTTATATAACATATCCTTTGGAATTCCAGTGGCTGGGCCCAATAGTCACATTAATTTACTGCTAAAAGGAGCTCTGGTAGCGTAGTGGTTACGAATCAGGCTGCGAACCTTAAGGTCAGCGGTTCGAAACTACCAGTCGCTCCGCGGGAGAAAGATGAGGCTTTCTACTCCCGTAAAGATTTACACCCTCGGAAACCCTGTACAGGGTCGCTATGGGTCGGACCCGACTCGATGGCACTTAACAACAACAACAACAACAACATCATCATGAAGTTCTCATCAATGAGAAACAAAAAAAGGAAGCATTCCTAAAAGGACTAAGGTAAAAATATATGATGCCAAACTATAAGCCTTGAACTGCTTTATTTATTCTTAGTTTGTGTTTTACAGGTTAAAAAAAAAGCCATAGAAGTAATAGGGTCAAGACGTTTTAAAGATAATACCTAAACTAACCAGTGGCACTTGCTGTTAATTGCCAGTTCAGACACAGCAACCCTAAATAGGGTTTCCAAGGCTGTAAATCTTTATGAGGGCAGAAAGCTTCATCTTTCTCCTGAATAGTTGTAATTGTTGTTAATTCAGTTCTAATTCATAGCGACCCTGTATAGCTGGAGTGGGGAACGTCCAGCCCAAGGACTCTCTAAGGCCGTGAAATCATTTGGTCTGGGCCTGCCCAGGCAACCTCAGGCAGGACTCAAAATTCAATAAATCCAGGAGCTTTCTTTTTTCATATCAACATAAATTTATATTAAGTGATGTTATAAATATCCAAGTGGCCCTTGGCATAAAAGCAGGTCCCCACCCCTGTTGTATAGCGTTTCTGAGGTGCAGCTACTCCAAATAATAGTAGTTTTTGTTGTTGTTGTTGCTGTTAAGTACTGTTGAGTCGGTTCCGTCCAAGTCATAGCGACCCTGTATAGGGTTTCCAAGGAGCAGCTGGTGAGTTTCAACTGCCAATCTTGTGGTTCAAAATTAATAGTATCATTATAGTAATAGTCATAATTACTATCATTGCTAACAGTTACTCTATACCTGCTATGTATCAGGAATATGGGTTTGGGCGTATTAATTCTAGTAGATGTATGAGAGGAATATTAATAGTCTCATTTTACAGATGAAGAAATGATACATTTGTTGTTGTTAAGTGCCATCGAGTCACTTCCGACTCACAATGAACCTGATAGGGTTTCCTGTTATTGTTGTTGTGAAGTGTTGTAGAGTCAGTTATGACTCATAGCAAACTTGTATAGGGTTTCCGAGGAAAGACTGGTAGGTTTGAACTGTCAACCTGTGGTTAGCAGTCCAGTGCTTATCCTACAGAGCCACAGTGCTCCCTTAATATAGCATATGGGGTGATGGTTGTGTGTCACCATTGGTTCTGACTCATAGCGACCCTGTATAGGGTTTCTGAGGCTGTAAATCTTTATGGGAGCAGAAAGCCTCATCTTTCTCCCACAGAACAACTGATAGATTTGAACTGACCTTGTGGTTAGCTCAACTCGTAAACCACTACACTACCAGAACTCCTTTAATATAGCATATATACTATAGCAACACATGTTGTATGATGACAAGTTACTCATAAATCTGCTTTCTTTAGTTTCTCAACTCCTGATCTTTATGTTCATCTGCGGCCAGTATGCCAACACTTAGCACAATACTCTACATATAGCAGACGCTCTGTAAAGAAATGCTGGTGGGCAGAGTGTCCATTTTAGAAGCGAATCCCATCTAAACTTCCCTACACCATTTTTCTTAAAGCTAGAAGTCTAACTCATCTTTAACTTTATTAGGGCACCTCTTACTTACGCTACCTTGTGTTTCCTAGAGAGGTTGTTGTAGAGTGCTCTGAAGTTTTTTCTAGTATAGCTGCTGCGATATGCTCCACCAAGGAGGTATTCTATTACCAATCCAATGTCCATCAGTGTGATTCTGTAGACTGAGAGAAGGGTATTCTGCAACAACCACAAACAAAAGTCACACATTTTAACTTTCATTTTCCTTTTTCTATCTCTTTCACCATGCTGTTAGCATATAACCACGCTAATCACTTTCACAGAGTAGACTCATGTTTTTCAGTCATCTTTACAAACTGATGAAGTATTAAAAGCACCTATTAATATAATATGCTAGTCCCAATGAAGAGACATCTTTACCCTTGCTTCAATTTTTACTTTCATAGACAAAGTGTGCATATACATCTGCTTACTCACTTGCTCTCTTTCTCTGTTTTTTATGCATACTCATAGACAGCCACAGTTTAGAATATAAGCTTTTTTTACCAAGGGATAATATACACCTTCTCCTTACTTACTAAGTCATTATCCAACATTTTGCATTTACAATAATAAAAATCTACTCTCTTAACTATTTTGTGTATTAACAATGCACATCTGGCAATAACAATCATAGAGGTCCCTAACAAGATCCCTGACTCAGGTACCACATAGAAAAGAAGCTTAAATTGCATAGCATTTGGCTGTCCAGGAAAGGAGCGGAAGTCTCCCTGAGCCTCTAGGGTGCTGGGCAGAGTGGACAGGGGGCTGGAATGGGGCTGGCAGGGACAGGACATATACAATAGGTCTGAGGTATCCACAGGGGACTGAGGCCAAAGCAACAGCATCCAGTGTCCTGAAGGTGGGCTGTCCTCAGGGCTGAGGAAGAAATGGTATGCTGGAGTCTGTTTCCAGCTCCCAGCCCTGAGAGGAGGCAGCATTGGGTTAGCCCATGGTCACGTAGCCCTGAGATAAGAGCCCTCAGCTGCTGGGATCTATGGGACCCCAAGTCAGCTGATGGGTGCATGTACAGTCCCTTAAGCCTCCTTGATGCTCCTTCTTGGGTGGTTAAAGATGAGGATGGGTCAGGTTACCTGGTGGGGTTATGATCAGTGAAAAAGAAGCCAGCAGTAGATGCAATTTAAAGGGTCATGGTCTAAGAAAAACCTCTGAATTAATTGCCAATTCTCCTTGGAACATGAGAGCAGAAGGAAGTAGGGCCACCCAGTGAGAGCCAGGGGATGATTGCGAGGGGCTTGTGGGGAGACCCAGCAAGCAGCATGTGTCTCTCCTCCCCCTCTGGCACCCAGAGAACAGTGAGCTCCCTGCCAATGATAAAGCCACCTAGGGGGGTTTGGAGTTATTGAGAGGATGAACCAGGGTCACACATTCAGAAAATACAGTGAGGGTCTCAGAAGGAGGGAACCTAGGGATGGAGAGGAGGCTGGCGCTTATACCACCTTGGTTCTGGAAGACTAGACATCCCTCCTCTACAGGCAATGTGAGGAGGGGAAGGTGGCAGTGGCAAGTGGCCTCAGCAGAAGCCTGGTGGGACATTCCTGGTAC